AAGCAACATGAAAGAATAAGAGGGGCTTCACCTGTTTTTTGTGACTGTGTTTATCCCACCCTGGGTCATCACAGAATAAGTCAATGCCCTCTATAAAGCCTTAGTAAGACCACACCTAGAGTACTGCACCCAGTTTTGGTGACTAGACTATAAAAAAAGGTTGAGACTCTGGAAAGAGTGCAGAGAAGAGCAACCAAGATGATGAGGGGGACTGGAGGCTGAAACATACAATGAACCTTTGCAGGAACTGGGCATGGCTAGTCTAGTGAAGGGCCAGGAGAGACAGGATAGCCGTGCTCCAATACTTGATGGGCTGCCACAGAGAGGAGGAAGGGGTCAACCTATTTTCCAAAGCACCTGAAGGCCAAACAAGGAACAATAGAGAGATTCAACCTGGAAATAAGGAGAAATTTTCTGACAGTGAGAACAATCAACCAGTGGAACAGAAGTTGCCTTCGGATGTTGTGGGAGCTTCATCACTGGAGGCTTTCAAGAAGAGATCGGACTGCCCTCTGTCAGAAATGATGTCAGGTCTGCTGCTTGGGCAGGAGTTGCACTAGATGACCTACAAGGTCCCTTCCAACTCTGTTAATCTATTTCTAATCATTTCTTCTTTGTGGCAGCCTCTTTGATATTGGAACTTTGCTATATCACCCCTAGTCCTTCTTTTCATTAAACTAGACCTACCCAATTCCTGCAACCTTTCTTTGTATGTTTTACCCTCCAGTCCCTTAGTCATCTTTGTTGCTCTTCTTTGCACTGGACTGTGCTTTTCATTTATTTTTTTTATTAAATACCGGTAGTTATTAATTGATTAATAGAATATAATAGAATAACAGAGTTGGAAAGAACCTTGGAGGTCTTATAGTCTAACCCCTTGGTCAGACAGGAAACCCTACAGCATTTCAGACAAATTCTTAAAAGCCTCTTCTTAAAAGCCTCCAGATTTGGAAAAGGATGGAAGAAGGAAGGAAGGAAGGAAGGAAGGAAGGAAGGAAGGAAGGAAGGAAGGAAGGAAGGAAGGAA